GCTGCACAGAGATCTCTGCTTTCCAAGAGAAACGAGATATCGTAGGGCTCGTTAATGGCGCTAGAAGTTCAATACTAGTACGAACGACATTTTATCGGAAAAACATGTCAATGAAACAGTTGGCATTTATTCGGTTTGAAAATCTCCCATCTCATAGTGACATTTTTAGAAGAATGGGAAGCAAAGGATTTTGAAAAAGAATATTGCAGAACATAGGTGGTGTATGTAAATGGACTAATTTTTTGGTGCCGAGTGTCATGTTTTTTTTTTTAATCAGCTAGAATAAAAGAAAGGTATTTGCTAGTTAATTAATGGTAAAAATGTTCCTTATAAAGTAAAATGACGCGAAGCGTTTAATTTCCCTTTGCTTGCATTCGTTTCAATTTTCATGCTTTTTATCCACAAGCTTTTTAAAGATGACATTGCAAAAACCTCAGAAATTCTTAGTAATAGTTGTTTCTAATTCATTTGGTCGGGGCGTATGCAGAAACTCGCTCGGTTTGGCAATGCTTCAGCCCGCGAGGTCGTTTTATGCTGATTTTTAGCCCCCTGCACAGCTTTCATCACCCCACTTGTGAACTTGTTTGGGGAAGAAGTTTGCGCGCCCTCGGAGCGAACTGGATGTCCGCGCCTACGCAGTGAGGCACATTAGACCGGTCTGCATAATGCAGCGGCTCAGGTTGCACGGCGCTGCTGCATTACCACCACTCCAAACAGCCGGCACTGTCTCTTACCATAACCCGGGGAGCGAGACACCGCATCCACCTCGAAGGCCATCTAGGTCGCGTTTTATTACTTTTGTTTCCTTGGATGATGCGTTTTAAATAATCGAAAGATATACAGAATAGAGTATGATTCATTGCCTCGGTAGCATGTTATTGCTATGCGTTGCGAATCAAATACGCTGGATATTGCTGAAAAAATCACGTTGATCGTTCTACGACATTTCATTTCCAAATCAATCCAACAGTCATACACGTTAAAATCACATCTATTTGGCAAATCAGCTTCCTAATCTTCGTATGACAAGAGTGGTTTGGTATAAGCTTTACGGTATTATGGTAGGTATTCTGTTGAGTGGTTGAGTTCTGATCGAGTTTAGCTTAGTGGTCTGATCGAAGGGCTGATATAAATATGTAGGTATCCTGCTGGTATCGCCCATCTCTTGGCGGACGCTATATGTTCTAGCCGGCCTGGCTCGCCGTGTGAACTCGTGGGCGCAATATCAGGTAACTGTCTGAAACACTGCACACAGTATCAGGTAACCGCCGCCGGGCGTCTGTGGCGTGTCTACACTATCGGCGGGGTCGCTCGGTCCGACCGCCCTCCCGCCGAGCACTGGAGCCGCCTCCCGCTGTCAGCCGAGCGGTCCGGATCCACAAACAACAAACACATCCGGAGAGGAAGCCGACGGAGACCGGCCGCGCACACAATGGATCCGGCCCGGACACAGACAGGATTCAGACTGGATTTATATGGTTAACGTCGGGTACCGGTCACCTCCAACATGCGCTGTATAATGCATAGGTACCGATAATTACAACAACTTTTTTGCATTATTTTAAATAAGTACAGCCTTTATATACCTAAATTTGTACATTGCAGCTCCTAATGTTTTCATCCGCCTCTGAAAGTAACACGTTAAGTCGAAAATAATAAATGTGTAGCTGGCGTTGACACTGATGTTGAGAAAACTCGACACTGACTGGAAAATAACGAGCGTCGTCGTCGCTGCCACCAGCCAGCCATACAGACCCTGCCACCAGAGAGCTGTGGACATCTGGGGCAAAAACGAACGGAAGACATCTCCGACTGCGGCCACTGGGTGGCCTCCGGGGGGGGGGGGGGGGGTGGAGGGAGAGGCGAGGGTTGACCGGGGCCGGCGAGCGGCGTCCACGACGAGCGAGTTCTGAGAGACCAGCGCCGAGTCGAGATCTGCAACGGACGACCGGCAGATATTTCCGTTCACTGTTCAGTCCCCAGCTTACGATCTATAAAACCAAACAATACCATTGGCTAAATGCACAAAGACGTAGCGTACTGATTAACCAACACCACATAAACTGACTTTGTATAAAAAGCAGAGAAAACAAGATGATGTGAAAATGGAAAACTTTAGGTTGCACGAAGATTCGGGTAAACATGTGACATTAACTTCTTGTGTACGTAAGCGAAGCCTTAATAACTAAGTTTTAACTGCTAAAGCTTTTCCAAGGCTGCGCTCTAGCTCTCACTATTCATTCCCCTCGGGACTCCCTCATGTTCCCGATGTATGTAATTATTACGGAGCGAGCGAAGCGAGCGGAGTCTCATACTGAATTAAGGGAAAATCCTGAGTATGAGCGGCCGGCCGGCCGGCCGGCCGTGGGGACGCTCTTCAAAAGCTAATATCTTAAGAACGGGACATCCGATTGACAAGCGGTCTTCTTTACTGAATGTCACTTGGACGTAAAAGTTCTGTGGTGTGATGGCCACCATGCGTTCTTGCCAACCACCGCACGTGGCGCGTGGTAAAGTTGGACATTTTTTAAGAACCCCCAAAATTGCAACCTCAATAACGGCACAACGGTTGGGCCGATTGAATTGAAACTCGGTACACAGTTAGGTCTCCATCAGATAATTCATCTGCATGTGTTAAGGTTGGGGTGCTACAGCACGTGCGCACGTGCAGGGGGCGCTCCCAGATCTCGAGAACGGCTGGGCCGATTGCGCTCAAATTTGGTACACGGTTGGGGACCAGTTAGTAGGATGCCGTGCAAAAGTCAGTTTGGACCCCGCTTGCACGTGCGCACGTGCAGTGTGCCGCTTCCAGATCTCGAGAACGGCTAGGCCGATTGCGCTGAAATTTGGCACATCGCTAAAGACCGGTTAGTAGGGGGGGCATTCCACGATAGATCGTACCACTTTTTTCCAATTTGACACCCTCATCTCTCGGAATTTGACGAGAATTGGTCTCAGGGGTAATCAGGGGCCCTGAATCCACCTGTAACAATTTCAGACTTATCAGATAAGTATTTTTTGAGTTATGGTGTATAACATTTTTTGGATCTTGCTTTGCAGCGCTAAGTTTGGCGGGCTGTAACTCTAAGACGGATTATTCAAATGCCAAATGTTATATAACATTGAACTTGCAATGAAACAGAGATTAATATGTATTTTTGAAATTTCGAAAAATACGCTATTTTTGATATATGACATATCGAGTTTTCTTTCATTTGTATTTTTTGGACTTTGGGACCAATTTTTTTTGAATTTTTATTTCTTTAAAAAATTATTTGGCTCATTGTTAAGAAGTATGCAAAAAATTAGGAAGGTGTTCTTTCTATAAATGTATTTATTTTACGTCACGATAACGGTTTCGAATAGTGATTTCGGGAGGGGAGCTTACAAATGGCGTGGTAAAGCTGCCTAGTGACATCAAGGGTTACTGAAATTTCAATTCAAGTCTGAGTCATCTGAAAAAAGTGAAAAGAGGGTTCATTCAACCCTCTTTCCTATAAGCGCGAGGGTGAAAAAGGCTGTTTGGTTCTGACATTGTTTTGGACGCCAATGACCATAGCTGTCCGAGATAAAAGTTACAGGACGCATACATGGTGTCCTCCAGAGGTCTCACAACTTGTATATCTGGGAATTTTCAAGGTTACATGAGGTCAGGTCGGTCACGTGACATCACTGTTATAAATCAATGGGGAAATATAAAAACTGTTATTTTGGCGCCGAGAATGACCTACAACTATCCCACGTATCGTGATTTCATGCACTCCTTGCAAAGTCCAATGCTTTACTTTTGCATTGTTAACCTTGCGTGACGTCATTTATGACGTCACTAAGGGCGTACGAGTTTTTCGTCAATAACTCCCGATCAAATGGAGCTAGAGAGTCGGGAAAGCCACCAATGGACTCGGGAAGACCTTCCGAATCGAATGATATGCCATATGATACCCTTTGCCCAGCTTCGTGACCTGAGGGGCTCTGACCTGACCTTGACCCGAGGTCAACTACTTAAGTTGACCTCACCCTAACAAAAAGTATGCCATTCGATGCACCTGAGCTAGGCGAACACAATGATGCCAAAATCGCGGCTCTGCGGCCATTTTTGCGAAGTTATTTACTAAAAACCGAATCCGTAACTTCAGTCACGTGACCTGACCTCAGACGCTACCGGTTAACCTGAAACCTTAAAATCGGGTACCAGTCGCTGCGACTTGTAACGACACACACGCTCGTTTTTTCCGCGAGGCTCCAGCTCTATTAGAAGCGAAACGGTGTGCTGGGGTCGTATCAACCCCTCCGAAACCCATTTTGTTTGCGGGAAAATGAGGAACTTATAGAAAGAACACCTTTCTAATTTTTTGCATGTCGATTTGCAATGACATGAAGATTATTTTGAAAAAATAAAAATGTGAAAAATTTTGGTCCCAAAAGTCATTAGAGATAAATGAAAAAAGATTAAGGTTTTTGCTCAACAATGAAGTTTTTTCTTTGGAATTTTAAAATGGTAATATTAATTTTTGATTCATCGCAAGCTTAATGTTGTTTACTTTTTGTTCGTTGCTTAACCCGTTCTTGAGTTATAGGCCATCAAACTCGCTGTTACATACCGACGTTAAAAAAATGTAATGCAATATAACTCAAAAAGTTTTGATCAGAGAAGTCTGATATTTTGCCAGGCGTCTTTGGGGCCTATGATTACCCCTAGGACCGATTTTCATTTAAATCTGAGAGATGAGGGTGACGAGCCTGGTACGATCTATCGTGGAATACCCCAGGGTGCAGTGCACAAGTTAGTTGGAGGTACCCCCTCGCAATTTCGCACGTGCAAGGCCCATCCTCTCGCTCGCTCCGTTGGTCGCCCAAAAGGCGTTTTACTATATTGGTTTTACTGGTATATGCTTATCCATTTAGAATGCAACGCTGCTATGAATGAAGGACAAAAGCAGCGCTGCTTAATTTTATTGCCCCGTGTTAGTGCTGCGATAATAAACACATACAAATTCACATTAATCTCACATTGGTGTATTTCTTCACATTTATTAAGAACATCTACATTACAAGTATTAGCGTAGCTCTCTGAATCAGACTCACAGAGTGATTGACTCAGCGTGACTCACCGGAGTCACGCGGCGCGCACAGTGAAGAGATTCTAGATATATTCACAAAGGCACTGAGACACACGTCACATCCCGGTGGCGAGCCAAGTCCTGTGAGCTGAGACGACCCGCCTCACCGGCCCAGGAACATAGACACCGGTGAATACAGGTCCGTACGGTAACAACTCCACTGACTCATAGTCTGTCTGGTGGTCCATAGCTCAACCGGCGAGCCCTGGATAGTTCAACGAACCAGTTCGATCCACAAAGGTCCGTCAGTTTACCACTGGCTCGTTTAACGGGCCCATCCCCACTCAGTGAGCCCTCGTCAGGTCCCTGCCGATGATCCCCACAGCTGTCAGTCAGCTCACCATGGACCCCCGGCTCAGTCCGCGCAGCGAGACCTGAGGATCATTCCCGTGGGCCCTTCCCAATTACACTCACATCATGAGACCCACTGTGAGACACGAAAATCGTTCGTGGACACGCAATAAAGACATCTCAATCTAGAACGAAAATATGGTTCCAAACTAAACCAACCTAAGCGATGGGCCACACTGTTAAGGACTGTCGCACGCTTCATGATCGTCCCCTGCTGAGCCTTATGTCATGGCCCATGGCCCCTGGCCCTGCATGTTCTCCCTGACCCCCGACTGTTCCTCTTGACCCCCGCGCTCTGAGCGTTCGCAGTCACTCGGACGTAGCGCCCGCCCGTATGCCTCCCTGCCCCAGCGGGGCTGTATTACCGACATCGGCAGCGGCGCCGCGGCCGCTAACACAGTGCTGTAAAACGGGGGGCAGCCGCGGCCGCCCGAACGGCCATGAAAAAGTCTGAGACGTCGTCGGTCGTCGTCGGCGACGGTCCGCCTCCGGGACAGAGGCGGGCGCGTCTGAGTGACCACTCCATCAGACCCGCCGGCCGCCGGAGAGAGAGGAGCGAGACAGCCGGCCCGCCGCCGCGGCGGTCTGCAACATGGCGAGAGAGAGTCACATACATACAGAGCAGGAGGGGAGGGAGGGAAGGAGAGGGAGAGAGAGAGAGAGAGAGAGAGAGAGAGAGAGAGAGAGAGAGAGAGAGAGAGGGAGAGAGAGAGATGGAGAGAGAGAGAGAGAGAGAGGGAGAGAGAGAGAGAGAGAGAGAGAGGGAGAGAGAGAATGAGGTAAAAAGAGGGATAGGAAAAGAGTGATAGGCTGGTTAGATGAATATATGGCCAACTAAATTTGAAAGGCACACCCTAATGCGGACATTACCAAGGAGCCATCCGAATTGTTTGTCCTAAGTAGCTCCCACAGCCCATAATCGCATAACTCACTGCACAACTTTACGACCTTAATTTACATTGACATTCGGAGATAAATTGAGCTTATTTTGAAACTTCGCCAATCTAATCGGCTAATAGTGACAATCATTCTTTTGTCGGGTCATCCACGGCCTACTTTTGCACGGTTTTTATTCACGGCAATCATCCTCGAGAACAAAGCGAAATAGCTGGCGGGATGAGCTGGCAACCGACGCCTCGCAGCGACCCTCTGAGGGTCGGGGAGGGGAGGGGGGCAGTCGCTGGGGAGAGAGTCGGCGTCCACGGGTCGGTCATATCCCTGGCGACGCTCACCTGGCTCTACAAGCGCCACCAGACCAGGTAGAGCAGCCAGCTGTACGGCAGGCCGTGCCGCCATACGAGACAGGCTAATCGACCCGCGTCGCTAGTCGGCAGGCTCCGGGACTCCAGCGCTGGAACACAAAGCTTAGTTGAACTTTAAGGCTGAAACACACAACGGCATAGCTGGACTGCGCTGCAACACATGGACAGGATAGACCGACTCCAGGGCTGCAGCAAATGGATAGAACAGGGGGAGACGAAGAGGGCTAGAACACAGGACGAAGCAGCTGGACTTCAGCACTGTAACTTAACCCTCGCCCATGTAGGGGGGGGGGTTGGTGCAACCCCCCCCTGAGGTTTTTCGGAAATAGTGCAAAAACGGCGGCGCGCAGCGCCGCCAAATTTTGGGTACCTTATGGGGCAAACCTTGCGCATCTTTTGATAAAAAAAAATTGACCGGGTCATGTCAGGTCACGGAGTTATGACGTCACAAAGGGAACAGCCTCCGGCCGGATTTTCACAAACTGAGTGCCAACGCCCGAGGTTTCCTGCCGGTGGTACGGAGATCGGTTGATGGATCGTGATGAAACTTCCCATGCATGTTGGGGCAAGTATTGGCTATCATATGGTATAAGAAACTTGACCGGGTCAGGTCAGGTCACGGAGCTATGACGTCACAAGAGGAACAGCGTCCGGTACTATTTTTGAAAAGCGCCCGAACCACTATTTTGCTAATTCTTGTCACCTCAATGGGAATATGCAGCAATATTAGCTTCTTTAGGGAGCAAATGGACCTCCCAAATCCAAAAATACAATCAGATTTCAAAAATTTAAATTTTGATTTTTCGAATTTCTGCCGCCGACTGTGACCTTGCCGACTTCCGGCGCTCCCAACGCGCCATTTTTAGAGCTAGGGAAACGAAATACATACCAAACGATAGAGAATTGATCAAGGAACACGATAGTGAAGGTTTCAAGTCGATATCTCCCACCGTTTTGCCGCAATCGCCGCCGAAAGTTGAAAAAAGTCTATTTTTCCGAAAATTTGACCTTTGACCGGTCAAAAGTAGGTCAAATGTTGACCTAGGACCAAAAAATATACCACCAATCGCGAGATCTCGTTGAGAGCAATCCGTTGGTTTTTTCCGCTAAGCTCTACGACGCTCCGTTTTCAAACGCCAAGGGGGGGGGTCGCACCAACCCCCCCCCCCCCCCCTGCATGGGCGAAGGTGGCAGATCGCCGTTTACGGGCGAGGGTTAAAACATGAGTGGACTCAAGAGCTGAAATACAGCAAAATGGCTGGACTCAGGGCCACCTAGAGCTTAGAACTGATACACATGGATACAATATGTGGGAAGTAGAGCCTAAACGATCTAGATCAAATAGCTCTACTTCCGAGTTGAGATAAACGGACAGACAACTGAACTCCAAACCTGAAAACAAACGAACAATCACGGGAAATTGAAGAACTGAGCACTACCTAACTTCAACAGCAGCACACTGAAACTGAAATAGCTGAGTGACAAATGGATAGACGGAGCGCTCTCACGTGGCAGCGACAGAGGATAAAAAGCGGCCAGCTTTGTTCTATTCAGTGGCATCAGCTCGCAGCTCTCAGAAGACAGTGTCTCAACAGCAGCGGCGCCCGTGAGACCTATTGTCGCCCTGGAGAGGAGCAGGGCTAAGGCGGCTCGGCGGCCGGCCGAGTCCCATTAGTCCGTCAGCGCGTGCAGCCCGGCTCAGCCCGAGAGGATATCGACAGACCGGGCAGACTCTGAGAGCCTTCTTCGTGTTGTGGATATTGCCAATATAGGAAACACCATCGGCGCAGAGCAGCAAAGAACAAATGCTAACGGGTTGTGCTGAATGGACTTTCGATTAGCCAGCACATGCTTTACACGAATGCGAATGGTGGTAAACGTTCACTACGTGAATAGAAACGGAAACGACCATTAGCGGAGAAAAACATCATTTACAAGGAATATCTTACGAATAATTCACTTTTTCACCAACCCAAAGAAAACATATTTGCTGTGGAATGTAAATGATTATAATTGGGTGACGTTTTTCGTCCACTTTTAACCGATTTTTGTTTTCTGTTGTTGTTGCCCATGTTGACAGTTGACAAATGTATTGCCCTCTGCCAGCTTTGAAACGGCCTAACAGTGCACGGTCCCTGATGACCCACCTCTGCCGATGGTGGAGAAGTGAAACGTCTCCGACACCCTCTCCAAAAGGTCAGGGGTCCACAGGTTTGGGGTCCCCGTTGACCCACCTCTGCCGATGGTGGAGAAGTGGAACGTGTCCGACACCCGGTTCCAGCCGTGCTTGTTCTGCGCCTGGATGCGCAGGTCGTAGGCGGTGGCCGGCGTCAGGTGACGCAGCGTCACTCGCTGCTCAAAGTGGATATCGGCCACCGGCTGACGGCCCGTGGTGGGCGCCGTCAGGGTGGTCCACGGCCCGGCCCCCTGGCTGGTGGAGTTCACCTGTGACACACAGACACACAGACGACGAGCGAATCAGTGTTATCCACGGCCTGGCCCCCTGGCTGGTGGAGTTCACCTGTGGAACATGTAAATAGATTCGGTTTAGTTGACCTGGCGCAGATACGAGAACGGTGGCTGGTCACAGTATTCCCTGTATTCCTGTTTTGACACACAGACACACAGATGCGGTGGACCAGTCACTGTGGCTGACGTCCCGACCCCTCGAGTTCTCTGATGTGTCACAGATCACATAGATCTGTGACACACAGATCTATGTGATTGTCCCTGCTAGTCAGAAGTCACCTGCGACCATCATATTATTTATGTATAAGATACAGCTGAAATATGAAACGGAAATAAAAGATGAAACAAATACCGAGGAAGCAGGGTAAGTTAAAAAAAAACTAACATAAAGTTAGTGGTAATAATGGGACGGTACGATACAAAATGATGCTGCGGAACAACAACGTCACGTTGTTGTTATTAATGCACGTGACTGAACCTTCTTTTTCCTATACATCAAACAATGTCCCTATTATAGCATCTTACAAATGCCTCTACGAGCGCCTATTATCGCCATCGACAATTACACTGGCTCCACTGCACACGACATGGCCCCAGAAAATCACACACTTTTATCTCGTCTCGGAGGACGTTTTCTACCTTTGCCAATCTGGTCCGACGTCATTTAATTATTCTGCTCAGGTCCGTTCCGGCGGCCCTCCATGGCTCAGAAAAGTCCCAGATCTGACGTCGGAGCCGACGAACTGATACCGCGAACCGACGCCGGGGTCGACGGCCCTGCCCGACGTCCCACGGCCGCCGCGGAAGGCGCAACGGTCTTGGCGTTTGGTGAGTCATGTGAGTGAACAACGCGCATCGCGGGCTTGCTGGGAGAGTGTTCCAGTGAGCTCGATGGTGTAGGAACCCCCGCTGTCATCCCTGGCATAATAACACGACGTCATTAATATAATACTGCCGGTGTTAACATCCTCACAAGGACAGCGCGCTACACTCAACGACTTAATCTGGGCTCCATTGCGGACAGGGAATACGATTCAACCCTCATTCGACTTTTTTGCGCTCGAATTCGACTTTGCGCAAAATAAAACGACAGCGCTTAAAAGCGACAGTTGCCGCAAATTGCACACTCAAACTGCGCTGAAATACGACATTTCTTTCATGTCGCAAAATCTTCAAAGTTATGCATTCTAGGAAGCTCGCTGCAATGAAAAGAGGTAAATTTAGCCCCCCGGAATATGTGATAGTATCAGGACACTGTTTGATTCCGCCACAAATGAGAAAAACGCGATGCAGAACGATGCGGTGAAACTGCGCTCATTCGCGACAAATCGTGGGTAAATTGCGCCTGTATTCAACAGTCCTGTTGGAGCCTGAGTGGTCGAGCACTTTCCGTTTTTCTGTTCTCATTCGTTTAATTCGTAACCAATCTTTAAAAAATGATGCTCATTTGAAAGAGATTTTCTCGCTCGTCATTTCTGATGCATAATGCATACATTTGGTACATCACACTCACAACCATATGTACTTGAATTTTCAGATGAAGGATTTTGCCGCGAAGACGGAGTGGGTGTCGTATACCTTACCTAGATGTTGAGCTGGAATTCGGTGAACAAGTTTTTTTTAAATAATGACCTGAAGGTGACCCAAACACTTTTAATTGATAGGTGTGTTTGCAAAACGCATTCCGACAGCTTTTTTTCTGCTTTTAACACTGTATTTTTCTCGAAATACCTGTTTGAATAATTTTCCCGAGTCGACTTCAGGCGCAATTATCAGACACTTAGCCTAAAAACGACACTACCGAGTCAGATAAAAGCGCACTGCGCCATTTTACGACACTCTGCAGTATGATCCGAGCGCATATGCGCCCTTTCCAGACACTTTTATGTTTGATTTGGGCGCATTGCACTTACACTTGACGGCACAATTTACTTGACAGAGGCGGCTTCAGCCACTGGTTTTGTGGATTTAATGCCTTTTATGCTATACTTTAGCATGTTTAGATGTTAACGATCAGTTTTGTTGTATTTACTCTATGCACATACTTACCTGTTGCTTGCGCGGGACCCCTCTTCATTAGGCCTGTTATGCGTAAAGTATTAGCGGAGGGGATTTCCTTCGCAATGGTGTATGTGCTGCCAAATGTGTCCGTGTGGCGCTCAGCTGGTCGGTGTTGGCCGAGATATGAATGCATAGGTGTATGCAAGGCGGACGGCTCCAGTGGCGGTCGCAGGGGGGGGGGACATCAGGGCCATGCCCCCCCAAAAGGCAAATCAGGGGGGCATCATATCATTTGCCCCCCCCCCCCCAACAACCGATGGGCCCCCATGGCCGTATGGGGCCCTGGCCCGTATTCGATTGTCACGAGGCTCGAGAAACCCACGCCAGCTATTAACAGCTCCTATACCAGTCTTTGAGGGTCCTACACTGACCTCTGAGAGCCCTTCAGTGGCGGTCAAGCGTCCACATTGACCGCTGAGGACCCACATTGACCTCTGAGGGCCCTCCACTGGCCTTTAAGGGCCCCTAAACCGGCCTCAGGGGCCCATCCGGCGTCTGATAGCCTCACGCCGGCCTCTGGTGGCCTCATTTCTGTCTCTCTAGTCCCAAGACTAGCCTTTAAGTGCCTCTGAGGGCCCCGCACTGGATTCTGAAGACCCGATGTCGGCCTCTAAGAGCCCGCATCGGCCTCTGGGGGCCCATTTTGGCCTTTGAGGGCCCTCCGCTGGTCTCTGGGGTCCAACGCCGGCCCATGCCGGCCTTTAAGGGCCCCACACTGACCTCTAAGGGCCCCATGCTGGCCTGTAAGGACCCACATTAGCCTCTGAGGGCCCCTGCACTGGATTCTGAAGACCCAATGCCGGCCTCTCAGGGCCCGCATCGGCGTCTGAGGGCCCATCTTGGCCTTTGAGGGCCCTCCACTGGCCTCTGGGGTCCAACGCCGGCCCATGCCGGTCTTTTAGGGCCCCACACTGACCTCTGAGGACCCCATGCTGGCCTGAAAGGACACACATTAGCCTCTATGGGCCCCGCACTGGATTCTGAAGACCCCATGCCGGCCTCTAAGGGTCCGCATCGGCCTCTGAGGGCCCATCTTGGCCTTTGAGGGCCCTCTGCTGGCCTCTGGGTTCCAACGCCGGCCAATGCCAGTCTTTTAGGGTCCCATTCTGACCTTTGAGGGCCCCATGCCGGTCTGTATGGGCCCACATTAGCCTCTGAGGGCCCCCCGCACTGGATTCTGAAGACCCGATGCCGACCTCTCAGGGTCAGCATCGGCTTCTGAGGGCCCATCTTGGCCTTTGAGGGCCTTCTGTTGGCCTCTGGGGTCCAACGCCGGCCCATGCCGGTCTTTTAGGGCCCCACACTGACCTCTGATGGCCCGTGCTGGCCTGTAAGGACCCACCTTAGCCTCTGAGGGCCCCGCACGGGCTTCTGAAGACCTGATGCCGGCCTCTAAGAGCCCGCATCGGCCTCTGGGGGCCCATTTTGGCCTTTGAGGGCACTCTGCTGGTCTCTGGGGTCCAACGCCGGCCCATGCCGGCCTTTAAGGGCCCCACACTGACCTCTAAGGGCCCCATGCTGGCCTGTAAGGACCCTTATTAGCCTCTGAGGGCCCCTGCACTGGATTCTGAAGACCCAATGCCGGCCGCTCAGGGCCCGCATCGGCGTCTGAGGGCCCATCTTGGCCTTTGAGGGCCCTCCGCTGGCCTCTGGGGTCCAACGCCGGCCCATGCCAATCTTTTAGGGCCTCACACTGACCTCTGAGGACCCCATGCTGGCCTGAAAGGACACACATTAGCCTCTATGGGCCCCGCACTGGATTCTGAAGACCCTATGCCGGCCTCTAAGGGTCCGCATCGGCCTCTGAGGGCCCATCTTGGCCTTTGAGGGCCCTCTGCTGGCCTCTGGGTTCCAACGCCGGCCAATGCCAGTCTTTTAGGGTCCCATTCTGACCTTTGAGGGCCCCATGCCGGTCTGTATGGGCCCACATTAGCCTCTGAGGGTCCCCCGCACTGGATTCTGAAGACCCGATGCCGACCTCTAAGGGTCAGCATCGGCTTCTGAGGGCCCATCTTGGCCTTTGAGGGCCTTCTGTTGGCCTTTGGGGTCCAACGCCGGCCCATGCCGGTCTTTTAGGCCCAACACTGACCTCTGATGGCCCGTGCTGGCCTCTAAGGACCCACCTTAGCCTCTGAGGGCCCCGCACGGGCTTCTGAAGACCTGATGCAGGCCTCTAAGGGCCCGCATCGGCCTCTGAGGGCCCATCTTAGGGCCCTCTAATGGCCTCTGGGGCCCAACGCCGGCCCATGCCGGCCTTTAAGGGCCCCACACCGACCTCTAAGGGCCCCATGCTGGCCTGTAAGGACCCACATTAGCCTCTGAGGCCCCTGCACTGGATTCGAAGACCCAATGCCGGCCGCTCAGGGCCCGCATCGGCGTCTGAGGGCCCATCTTGGCCTTTGAGGGCCCTCCGCTGGCCTCTGGGGTCCAACGCCGGCCCATGCCGGTCTTTTAGGGCCCCACATTGACCTCTGAGGAACCCATGCTGGCCTGAAAGGACTCACATTAGCCTCTATGGGCCCCGCACTGGATTCTGAAGACCCCATGCCGGCCTCTAAGGGTTCGCATCGGCCTCTGGGGGCCCATCTTGGCCTTTGAGGGCCCTCTGCTAGCCTCTGGGTTCCAACGCCGGCCAATGCCAGTCTTTTAGGGTCCCATTCTGACCTTTGAGGGCCCCATGCCGGTCTGTATGGGCCCACATTAGCCTCTGAGGGCCCCCCGCACTGGATTCTGAAGATCCGATGCCGTCCTCTAAGGGTCAGCATCGGCTTCTGAGGGCCCATCTTGGCCTTTGAGGGCCTTCTGTTGGCCTCTGGGGTCCAACGCCGGCCCATGCCGGTCTTTTAGGGCCCCACACTGACCTCTGATGGCCCGTGCTGGCCTGTAAGGACCCACCTTAGCCTCTGAGGGCCCCG